TGTGTGTGTGTGTGTGTGTGTGTGTGTGCATGTGTTTGTGTTAGTGAAAGGTAAAGTTTTATATAGTAACAACAACTACAACAACAACATCAACAGCAGCAACAACAACAGAGGCAACAACATGAACAAAAATAACAACAATAACAACAACAACAACAACAGCAGCAAGAACAACAAAAACAACAACAACAAAAACAACACCAACAACAACAACGTCAATACTTGTAAATACAGTTGACAGAGTTTACCTGTGACATCGAGATGCTCCAAATTGACACAGCGCGATACTGCCTCCGTGACGCCAGAGTTTGTGATCAGGTGACACCCCTGCATGTCCAGCACCCTCAGCTCAGGACATCGCTTGACCATCGTCTGTAGCCCGCGGTCAGTCAGTCGACAGCAGCCGTTGATGTTTACCTTCTCCACAATCATGCACACCTGAGCCGTAGGAAAATAGTTGTCGAACGATTGTCAAATGATCATAAAATTATTATCAAATGATTATCAAATGATTATCAAATTATTATTAAATGACTGCAAATTGATTATGAAATGATGTAAAGTAATCGTCAAATGATTATAAACAATGCTTGTGAAAAGATTATCAAATGGTTGTTAAGTGACAGTTAAATGATTATCAAATTATTGCACAATAATTGTCACATGATTGTCAGATGGTTACATCCCCATCAACATAAAGCGTTTAGATCAATAAGGAGGCGGGCTGCTTCAACCCAGCTTATCACGGCCGGTCTTTGCTAAGCCAAATAGTGAAATACAACATTTCGCAACACGTGAGTGCACAGCGATGACCTATCTTATATCTGAGAGGTTGTTGAGTTATTGTATTATACATGTTCAGCATTAGGGGGACTCGGTTGTTTGTTGTTGTTTAAAAAAAAAAGAAATTACAGCAATTATAAAATGCACTCCGATTTTATGAAACATTCTTGAACAGTCCATGAAAAATAGAAATTTCAATGGTGGTAAGTCCTAGAAGAGCTTAAAATGCGTTGTGGGATTTTTTTTCTCTTTATGACAGATCTTATCTTTCTCCTCCTCCTCCTTTTTCTTCTCCTTCTTCTTCTTCTTGCTTTTGTTCTTGCTCTTGTTCTTGTTCTTGTTCTTCTTCTGATCATGGTGATGCTGATGATGCTGATGATGATGATGATGATGATGAGGAGGAGTTGGAGGATTGTTATTGTAATAATTATTATCATTTTTACTATTTTTGTCAATATCATCATCATCATCATCATCATCATCATCATCATCATCATCATCATCATCATCATCATCATCATCATTTATTTCTATCGCCCTAGATATCTAATTGCCCCAGTATCCCCGTCCCGTGTCCCACCTTGGGCGTGTTGTAGCTGAGTCGCCTGGTGAGGTACTTGAGCGCCTTGTCGATGTCGATGTTGGGGTTGTTGATCACGATGGACGTCCACAGGATCGGGTGATCCCACACAGTGTTGTACCAGTGCCGACACACCTGGGGGGGGGTGGTGGAGCAGGAGGCAGAAGTGGAAGGAAATGAGAGCAGGTGGATGTGTGAAGTGGGTTTAGCGGTTGTTATGGTTGTGGGTTTCCTTTACATACTGCAAATCATTTGTATTTGGAGCTGAACTGGGAATAAAAATGTATATTATGCACAATAAATATAACGGCAAATAAAGAATGTCAAGAAAAAGAATGAGCCCCCTTCCCCATCCTTAGAAATCTTGATTAAAAAGAAAGCGACACCCCGTCCCCTATTCCCGAAAAAGCAACACAAATAAACAACTACATTCCTTGGAAGTAAACAAACGTTAACAAGCAAACGCAACACCCCAAAAAGCAACAACAAACAAATCAAATAACAACAACCACAACCACATCAACAGCAAAATAAAACTCGGAGAAAAAAAAAGCGGTCCAAAAATATAAACTAAGGAATTTAAACAGCTATCAAAAACTTCACCGTTAATGTATCTCTAGAGGTATATTCCTAAATACAACACACCTCACGGCGGGTGACAAGATAATCCAATAAGATGAGGAATTAAATATGGCTCGATCAACAACCAGAAAGAACAAACCCCACCCATCAGTCTTTGTTGGGAGCGTTCCACATTAAAGCTCTGATCGGCGTGGGTGGTTGGTGGGCCCTCTAGTGTGGTTTGCTCTTTCTTTCCTATCAAACATAATATTAATTGTTCGTATCTCTCCACCTTAATTTCTTTGTACGTTACTCTCAAGTAACACCTCTAATCTTCAGCGTTAATATGACCTATATTTGTGTTGACTGAAAGGAAATTATGTGAATGTAGGTGCAGTAAAATGATTATTTCATCAACTCTGAAAACGAAAACGTGCAGTGGGTGATTGGGGGGAGGGGGGGGGGGGGGTTGAAAGTTGATTTCCCGGACTTGAGAAGATCGAACATATATCGGATTGGAAGACAGAAAAAGTTTACACAGTAATGTACTATCAAACGTACGAGTAGGATACACAATGTACTTTCTTTCCTTTATAGTGTCTGGCAATTGCCCCCCCCCCTCCTCCTCCTCCTCCCTTTTCCCTTCTTACTCTCCTACAACTGAGCAGAGTGTCCTGGTTTCCAAATGACGTGTTCGCGACAAGTAATACTTTACAATCATATAAAACAGTTACTACGTCTGAGACATCAACAATATCATCATCATTGTCAGCAGCAACAACAGCAACAACAAAAACAACATCAGCAATATCATCAACAAAAAACAACAGCAACAACAATGAAAAGTGTATCTTGACATGAATCTTACCTGGGCACATCTACAAAGGCAATCTGTGGGTAGGTGGGCAAGAATTTTCAGCAGCAGATCATTGGTTAGTCTCTCAAATGGGCGGGGCTTCGGGGTGGTAGGCTGTTGTGAAGGCGAGGCTGGCGACTGGCGGTTGTGGGTCTGGCGATATTTGAAGAACAAGTTGAACGTGACATTTTCTATACGTCTATGTGGACACACGGCATTGGCCAAGAAAATGTAAACTTAAAAAAAAGCACCCGTTACGAATATATACAGCGTTGAAAACCTGTCTCCCAGACATTAAAATTTGCTCTACTTTACCGACAGCGTCATCATTTCACGTCTTCTCATCATTACTACCATTATAATATTTATTGTCCTTCCTCTCCTCCTCCTTCCTCTTCTCCTTCTCCCCCCACTCCTCTTCCTCTTCCTCCATAAATTCATCTTCATTAGCATCATTATCACCAGAAACATGCACAGCAGCAGCAGCAACAGCAGTAGTTAAAGCAATAAATATACCAAAAACAACAACAAACACATCATCACCAGCAGCAACACAAACCAAAGACACTATTTTATCGCAAAACTACTTGCTTTGCGAATACAAAATAACTCAGACATCAACAAACACAAGAATAAGAACAATAACAACAACAACAACAACAACAACAACAACAACAACAACAACAACAACAACAACAACAACGATGACGACAACAACGAAAATTTATTACAGAAACGACAATAATAACAATAAGAACTACTGCCGTTCAGTTACCATTCCAGACAATACAGTCACTATCTTCCACAAAAGAGTATGATGTCATTGTGTCCAGACACCCTCCCCCCTCCCTTTCCACACCCCCCCACAGCCCCACCAACCCCAAACCCACTTACCTGACTGTGTGCAGGAGGCCTGTGTACCTCCGCTGCTGTGAACGACTGTAACACGTGCCTACTGCCCCTAGACCCGCCCTTCGTTCTACTGGCTGGCTGGTGGAGGTGGGACTCGGACAGGGCCTGGGGTAAGTGAGTCCACTGATTGTCCATTTTGCCTGCAAGGATTACGTTCGGATCCCCGCTCCGGCTGTCCAAACGTGAGCTAGACCTACGTCCTACCATGCCTGTTAGCTGGTCGATTTCAGATATGTCCAAAATCGTTTTGCTGTTCCCAGAAGATTTATCGTGGTTGGGAATGTGTGCGGAAGAGGGCTGTATCGCCAGAGGGTCAGGGTCTATCTCAGCCTCTTCGTGAACTATCGGACGTGGACTGGAAGGTGAGGTCCTATCTTTAGCCGAGCGCCGGACTGCTAGTGCGTGCGTTGCTTGTTCGTAGGGAGGGGGAGACAGTGCGTGTCGGTTGAGGTGAGGATGAGAGTGAAAGTGAGGCGACAGTTTCTGTTGTTGTAGAGGTGATGGCTGGACATACTGTTGCTGATACTGGTGCTGATGGTGGTGGTGGTGCTGCTGCTGCTGCTGAATATGCTCTTCGTGAAGCTGTTTGAACAGTTGCTGCTGTTGCTGTTGGTGGTTAGTTGTTGAGAGAAACGGCGGTGGTTTTGACTTGGATGGATGTTTGCCCTTCACATTTTGCTGCTGTCTTGGCGTAGGTGTTGGAGCTTCATTATTAGTCTTTGAATGTTTGCTGGCGGACAGGTGGTTTTTGTGAGCAGTGCTCGTTTGGTGAGACATAATTTGCTGCTCTTCAAAATGCCGCGGACTAAGGGAACGGCAGCTATCACAAGAACACCCGGAATGATAATCCTGCGGCTGTCTGAGCTCACCATTGCTGACAACAGCGCCATGATCTCGAGTGTTTGATTTGGATGGTAGTCCAGACCGGCACTGACTAATCTCACAGTAGTAAGACGGGTCGTCAAATCGAGCATCAGAGGCAGACGCTGGGCAGAGGAGGACACGGGACTTTTCTGGACAATCCCCTTCTGGGAAATTCCCGGGATATCCCGAGGTGACGTCATTGCCCTCTGGGAATCTGGAGCGGCGAAGACGAGGCTGAGGTTGGTGTCTCTGTCTCGAGCCTTGGGTTTGGTTTGGGGAATCCGTGCGTGACGTAATGGTGGTGTAGACGTTGAGTGGAGACGAGGAGGAGGATTCCCCTGATCTGTATTCCCCTCCGCCCCGCCATTTTGATTTGGTTTCGGATGAGGACGTCGATGGCGGAGGAACTGGCACAGGGGAGACCGGAACCGGAGGTGGCGCTACCGGAAGGGGAGGGGCTGGAGAAGACCTCGATCCGTGCAAGAGCGGCTTATGTGAGAAAGACGTTACAGACTGTTGTTGTTGTTGCTGTTGCTGCTGCTGTTGTTGTTTTTGAAGCTGTCGGTCTGGTTGAGGGGAACCGGGGGATGACGCGCACGCGCTCTGTGTTCCAGAGTCTTGCGACCGGCCCCCCGACCCCGTGGACTTAGCAGAACCGGCTGAACCGGCAGACTCCGTCCCCTTGACGTGTGACAGGCCCAAGGACGATGTGGGCGGGCATAGTGAGGCCACGTCAGAAGCCACGCCCGAGCTCGTTGATTCGTGGGTCGAGCCGGCGGTGGGCGGAGCATCTGAGGAGAAAAAAATAGAATACAAGTGTTATCCAAACAGTTGCAGAAAAACATTTGGAGGATAGTTTACAACAGGATAATATCAAGGACGACCCACATAAAGCATATCGCAAGACCTAAAGCATTTAACACACATGAAAAGGGTGGGGACGGGAAGGGAATGAGCAGTGGGGATTTGATTAGGGAAGGGGGTGGGAGTCCACCTTTCACAAACGTTAACAACCAGAATGTCAAGGACAGATCTAGACAATAAGCACCCAATCAATAAGTAAGACAAGCAGACTCTGATGTAACGGCCACCAAATATAGGCCTAAAAGTGACACGTTACTATACATGTCATTCTGTTTGAGGTGACTGAGATTCAAACTCGAGTCATGAGTAAGACATTCAGGTGGTGCCAATGTAAGCACGGAGGCCCCGTCTGAGAATCATTGGGTATTTCTGAAGGTATTGATATATGCATATTCCGAATTTTTGTTGAGCAGGAGAAGAAGAAGAAGAAGAAGAAGAAGAAGAAGAAGAAGAAGAAGAAGAAGAAG